AGTTACTTGTAAAAATCGTAGGATTGCATGAGTTTGGCAACCTACTGTAGTTGTGGTATGTAGATCTAATAGACTTTTCGGCCTCACAAAAGTGAATTTTTTTGTTCTTACCGATGGTTAGTTCACACTGAGTAAGACTATTCGAGGGATATCATTTGTCCATTAACGGAAGGTCTGAGTTTGCGTTTTATTGCGAGTTCACATATAATGTCGGTACGTTTAAGTTTGCTGTAAAAGAGACACAAATTAGGATGTCCTAAAGATGATGATCCTTTTGCAATTTTCGACGCACTTTTTGCATGTTGATAAAGTAAAAAAGTTTTTTTCTTTCATTGTTCATCGAAGCTATTTTGAGGAGTTTGGATCTCGCCCATGTCCTCATGAGAAGTAAAATTTCCAGTAATAAGAATGGATATAGGCCTCTCCGACAGGCGCACTGACATACAAAGTTCGACAAACTTATTCAGAAAGGACACAAAATGAAATGAAATTGTAGAGATTGTTTACAAAAAGAATGTAAGGAAATATCTGGATACTGAGTTGAATGCCCTTCGCAAGAGAAAACAATGTTTGATTTTGAGGATATTCACAACATTTTTTTCGGAATTCGCATGCCCATAAAATTCAGTTTCCGTTTCTTATTAGTCACTGGGGCCAGTTTCAAATAAAAGGCGCCTTTTAATCGAATTTTCTCACCAACGACAATAACAATAAATGGGGCAGTTAGTGCCCAGATTGCGTCTTAAAATGAAGGATATAACAAGATATTTTTCTATAGGATGTCCACATCTATCCAAGCAAATGGGAAAAAAATAATTCATAGTATTTTATGAGTACCGTTGCACGGATTCCAAGGTCCACCTGGAGCCACTCTGTGGAAGATTTGTATTTAGGACACCACGCCAGACCATTGGGCATGTACAGTCGTCCATTAGCCGGCAGACAGTCCTTGGACCAGGCATTATTCAGAACCGAGGAGGCCGTGATCTGAGAGTCAGTAATAGCAAGGGAAATCATGCCCAGCAGGTCATCTTGTTCACAGGCTGAAAGAGATGAAAAAAAATACGAAATAACTAAGATGACAATGTCTGTTGTAGAACCAATGACCACACGTTGAACGTATGCGATGTAGAAGTGCGCGCACGAAATGATACCAACTGAAGCATGTGCAGCTGAAGATGTTCTCATGCGCAGCAAATAAGCCATTCAGACTAATTATCGCTACCAGGTCTTTAAGGACTCATCAGCAACTTTCATCAATTTACACTTTTTAGAGCCTTTAGGTAACCTGTGTGCGGTTTAAAGGTGGGTAATTAAAATAAATACCCAGCCAAGGACTATTTTTGAGCTTCAAGGTGGCTAGACGATACGCGAGCATTGGGAATATCAGCAGATATAGGGTATATTTGTCAGTGTCAGACAGAATAAATACGCCCTAAATAGCCATGACGACTGTTAGCATCCACTGGAATATCAGTCTAGGCTAACCATTATAATAATTGTGAAGGATTAACTACTCGAATACCGCCCAGCAAACCATTGTCCAACCCAAGGGCAACCACCCCTGATGCAGGCGGGAGCCGTTTACTATCATAGGCATTCGGTAGCCTAACGATTGCATCCGATAAATACTGCAACATTTTGTGTATAAACTATCCCTATCCGAAACCGTCTCTACTGATGGGTTCGAGCGCAAATCCAAAACGGTAGGCGAATAAAGTCATTGTTCCGGCGATCGCGTTTACGCCTTTTCAATACGTATATAAACAAAACAGTTGCATGACTATGCGCCACAACAAATAGTTCTGGAAATGCTTAAATTATTGGAACTCCCATCTGATTTGTTAATTGCGCAAGGGAGTTCTAAGAAAATTTTAGCCAGACGACTAAGGAGTTATTAACCATTTAAATCCAACACTTTTCCTCTGATTTACGGCCTCGAGTTCTGTCCTTAAAGCTCTGGTCTACGAGCTCCACTGTATTAATGGCAGAACGCTAGGATATAGTTCTAGATGATTAAATGAACTAGGAAAAGTTTCACTCTGTGGTTGATCTGTATTTATAAATAAATCGGAAATCCAATTTTAATCTTCATATTCTTTACAGCTACTGTATCGAGTACCGGCAGTTAATTGTCATCCGGCGAAATGCTGAACAGTGGACCGGAGCTCCAAGGCAATAACTAATTGCTCGCGATTTTCCTTCATAGATGACTTACGAGGAGCACAGTTTACAGAATCTTCATAAGTGGCGCATAACAGATGTCTGATCTAAGATTATCGGTGCTTAGTTGTCACAGACTTTGATCCATGCTTGATGAGCGGACGTTGATTTCATATGGTTGAAAGAAGATCTGAAATGCTTACAGTGTCCTCCTCTGCTTCTTTCAGGATCTCTTCCTGATTATGGGTTCGTGCTATTGTGCAAATGCCTCAGGGGTTCCAAACATTAAGTGAAGAGAAAATGGTCCCATGTTCCACATTTTATTCAGAATAGATCGAGGACCATTACCTCAATTTAACTCGGTTTTCGAAAGTCAGTTGCTAAGTCTTCTTTAAAGACTGCTTTTCGATAAACACGGGTGCTATTTTAAAAAGTATATTTCCATTTGAGGACTTCAGCATGCATTTGTTTACAAACCTCGGATGTAGAGCATAATAAATCTGTTTGCCAACAAATATCCAACGTGGAACTACAGAAGGCTGCCATTTTTGACGTAGATACAAGGCTGGCCTTCATGACTACATATTTTATGATTCCTTTATGGTTTTTTCTGGTGAAGGTAATCCTTTCCGTCGATTCGTCAACTATAAATATCGCTGTCTTACCACCGATTCGTGCGAATGAGAAATGAAGATCAAATTGCGCTGGTATGTTTTATCACTGTAGATGTGCACAGTTTTTCGGTAACTGAAGTGACTTTTATGTACGATTTCATGCAATGAAAGTATGCATACCTTACTTACTTCCTTCAAGATTTTACTAAAATTGCTGGGTAGTATAAGTTTAAGGTTCAACTATCAGGCGTAAGAGGGAACATAAAAATAACATTTAGAGGCATTAATCAAGGAATTCGGAATCTTGCTTCGTAGATTTCTTGTTTTCTGCTTGTGACTACTGGAACTATTTTTGCAGTACCTCCTACCTCCTATTACAGAGCACGACAAAAGAATCTATAATTGCAAGAAAGTAAAACACGGCGGGAAGTTAATAAAGTCAGAGCACGCCCACTACTTTTGGGTTTAACTCCGCAGAGCTTATGCAAACACCCTCAAGGAAAACGTGACTATACAAGTGCTTCCGTCTCCCGGATGAATTTTTTGTTAAGCGGTAACTTGAATTTGACCCACAAATTGCCTTGCGCCACCTGCTCATTTCACAGACCTTTTTAACGTACACGCACTGAAAGGAAGACAGTAAAACCTCCCTAGTAGAGCAGAATAAAAGCACTGATGTATGAAATTGATATCTCCTAATTAGTGCCTTTTGCTACCGGAAATTCAATTCAAAGTATCTCTATATTCCGCGCTTGTGAAGTATTATGCTTTTAGTGTAAGGTTATGGTCGAAATGGAAGAGAATCGGGTTTTCCTGACAACTCGTTTTATATAAATTTGTAATTAAAGATGGAAAACTAACGTTCTTCATTTTGTAGGTGCATTTATAAAATAAAAAAGTTAAAATTTATTTGAAGGCGCCGGTTCTGTGTACGCAAATATCCTATTTACTTGCATGTGTGTTGCCAAAGGAAGCCCCATAAAACTTGAAATTAGCCGATTTTTATCCGCGCATTAAGAATTCCTCTAAGGCGTGCCTTTTTCTATTTTCCATCAAACGACCACAATGATTAGAACTAATTAACGAGCAAGACCATTATCGGTTAATCGTGCTACTCAAGAAAAATAAAATTCAATTAGATTTTAGTAATCACCAAAAAGTGAGTTCGATGCATTACTTACTCATGGAAAATGCCAACATTCACGAAAGTTTAATAAGAAGTCAGAAAATGACGATTACTTAGAATTATATTTGCCTGATTTTCATTGAATCCAGATCCAAACTCCTTCATCCACAAGGATTAATTTTGAAACTTTTCTTGTTTATATTAATGTTTTTATAGCGCATTGCACAAAATTAATACGTTTTGTTTTGTGATCTTAAATGGCATGGGAAAATGCTTATCTAAACAGAAACCGCCAATTCCTCCAAATTCTACCTGTTTTCCTTCGATATGCGAGAAAAAAGCAGAGTAAAAGTCTTTTTCGTCCTCAAATCTGTTCAAAAACAAAAGAAGTAGACCAAATGTAAGTCCGACTACTTCCTCAAATGTTGACCACAAAATCGCATGTGTTAGATAATACATTGGGATTTAGTAATGCATTTTAAGGAATAAAAGTGTTTTATCTGATTATTATGGGTATTTATCTGAATATACACATAAGATCGAAATTTCAAAGACCCGGGAAGCATAATATATACGATTCGAGGTCATTGCTGACGGCAATCCCAATAAACACAATCTTGAAATTCTAAAGATTAGAAGTCATTGAACAAACGTAATTATTTAGAGTGTAGACCTTCAGTTGAAATTGTAAATATTTGTACAGTTTTTTGCATGTATTTGTCGACTATGCTGCCTCATGGTAACTATGTGTACGCCTTTGGCAACGAACCGTTTAAGAAAAATATTCCTACCGAGAAAGGCTAGTACGCAGTAGTTAATAGGGGAACACAGAGACGAACTTTTATCAAGTGCTCTTTGACCAAATACCAGTGAACACACATACCAAAGTCATTCTACCATCTGTCTGAGCTTAACGTGGTTCTAGAAGGGGTTGAATTAAAACGAAATAATAAGATGAACTCAATAGTAAATGATCGTTCAGTGAGCTCGAACTCAAAAAAAGCGTATCATATTGTGTAAAACGTCTGCTAGACTTGACTATTTACAACTACGGAAGTCATCATGACTTAATTATCATACCGTTTATGGATTAGACTAAGCACTATTGAATTAAATTTAGTTCTTGACGAGACTTTGTTCATACCAAGCAAATTGAAATGGTTCAGGAGATTCTTTGTCCTTAGTCTATGTATTTTGTTGTAAGGTCACAATCATACCATTCACCGACGGATTCCTAACAAGTGAAGTGGAATTAGATATTCTTACTGCGTTCTACGAGATAATAGGCCCAAAAGGACAGTTTTTGTAAGGGTAGAAAGGCATACTAGTTCGTAATGTATTTTGATTTTAGTTGCACATAATAAGCGTTTATATTGAGAAAATGTTTTCTCTATCTAGGTTTTATGCATGAATATTTCACAACGATGGGTTTTGGAATAATTAACGCAAATTTTGACGAGCTTTTAATTTAAAATTCTAAAAATTGGAGCAACTGTGCGCATCCTTATTAAACAATGGTTGTTAATTAACGACACTCATTTCGCGAATCCTCCATAGTTCTCGCTCATGCCACCCTTTTTAGGCTTTCGCCACAAACCTTATTTTGCGTCAGTTAAGGGCTCTCGAACAATTAAGCTTTATGCAATTTCCCTCTTTTGAAAATATCTTTGAAATCAAATGTTTCGATCTAAATTCGATTCCATCGGCTATTTGAACAAAACCACATAGGAAAGGATGCAGAGTTTTAAGCACAAAGGGGGTTTCACACGAAAATATGAAAAGAATGCTGTGATTATTTTTATGGGACGGAAAGTTGCTTCGAGACCTTTGAGCACGTGAAGAAACTTTAGGCTTAATCTCTCGTATTTCCCGTACCATTGTTAAAGACTCTCCCTCAGCTTTGGCGAAAATCGTGGATTATTATTAGCAGACAAAATGTTTCTTTCGGATACTGACCTTCTTGCGCCGAAATTCTGAGAACTCAACTCCTCTAGCAAGTCTATGCCTGCATTTGGCCCACTTTAGCCGCCCACTTCTGCGGCATAGTGTAATTAAATCCGTTAAACCCCAAGAAGCATGATTCACCAACTGTGATTAAAGTAAGCATACAGAAACTGGATCCACTATTTGAAATGGAACTGAACTTTTGATCTTGTAAGTTTTCTGCTTGATTGATGAGGAATTGAATTTAGCGGAAAATGCTAAATATGGAATACAAATAATTATATTAAACCTAGAGTAAGCATCAGTGGTTTCCTTGACTACGGCCTCCCATAGCCGCGTCTTAATTTTATTCAACACGCGTGTGGGGGTGATCAGTCGAAATAAAGATGGTCTACTCTCACGCACGCTTCGCCTTTTATCTGGGTCGGCACGAGATCTGTACCTGAAAAAGGTGCCACATTGTTGACGACACTAGCGCCTGTACGTGGCGACAAGATCGGGGAAGGGAAGCTGCGTAAAGACAGGATGGCGAAGTGTGTTCAGTCTGCTTTCGCGCCGGCAGCCAGTGCAAAGTTCCTAGGACTGTTTACAAGGTGATCAGAAAAACGGGATTGTGTGGAAATAAAAGATACTACTAGGTGTGCATGGTCCCCAGGTTCGAAACCGAGTACAATACAAAACAGTGATTTGGGGGGGAGGGGTCTAAAAAGCTTTTGAAACGCCCCGTGGCGCCACAAAATTTGGCCTGCACATACAAGGATGGAAAACAGCTTTTGGATAGTTTATCAGTGTGTTTCAGATTCAATAAATTGCATGGAAAGAAGTGAGCCTGTTGAACCAAGGTTTAACTGACCCCACAAGAGACCTAACCAATGTTTACTTTTCCGACCACAAAATGCACACATACTCAGACTGCTGTTTATTGCTTGATATACTTAGGTAAAAAAGATTGTACGGCTTCTGAAGACGGGAGTTTGCATAGGTATCATGTGTGGCACTAAAGAATACTTGCCGATCACCGCATCCTGAGGCTACGAATGATAATAGTGTGCTGAATACCAGAAAAGGCTTCGGTTAAGGTTTTCGAACGTGGTAACGGAAAAACTGATAGATTAAATTTAACATTTAATGCAGAAAAAGTAAATGCCTTCCGTTAATAATTGTTTAATGCGCTGCGGATTTAATGTCCTTTTGAATGTTTTAATTAGAGCAACTTACCGGGATTATTGGATTCCAGTCAAAGCAGCAAATGAAATTGTATCATTTGCTAACTTAGATTAATGGGGGCTTTAGGTGAGGTTTTCGAGCGAAGAAACGTACGAAATAATTTAAACTTCATACTTAAAAAATTCTTGAACCACTGATTCGGCTAAAATTTAAGCATTTGGTTGACCGAAACAAAGGCAAACATGGTAGAAACCGTAGCCTTATGGTCGGTGAGAGGACCTGGCTTGAACAAAATTCGAGTTGTTTTTATTGATACGGTTTACGATATCAGTGCCCTTTTGATAATAATCTCCACATCAATGTCTCACTGACGACAAAAGACGATGACACAATTGCTGGCTTTGCCGGTTCCTTTGAGCTTCAGAAAAGATCAGTGGGTTTTAAAAATTGAATTTAAAGCAGACATTATATTAGCTGAGTGATTCAGTAAATTGTGGCACGGCAGTTTGGCATTTGTTCTACCAATAAGTTCAATATCAACATTTTCTCCCAGAAATAGTTGGAAGGCACGTTCAAATTGACTCGGAAACTGACACTTTGATGGAATCACGTTTACGCAGGTGTTACATTTAAGAATATTCA